AGATACAGAACATTGAGCCTCCTGCTGTTTCATCTACTTCACATACATCCCAACTGCATGAACTAGATTTCCTGTCTACTTTTTTAGGCTTTCTTTTGTAAGTTTCTTTTCATATTTAATCAGGGGATTTCCTCTCTAGTGCCACTGTCTTCAGTAATAATTCGTGAAAAACAATGGCTATTATATGATGGTGAGAAATGGGAGTTAAAAACTACAGATGGGCTATATACCTTTAGGAAATGATAAATACATACATGTTTGATGTATGTGAAATGTTCACCAATTTCAGGAATTTTCAAAGAAAGCCATATTTATCCACATTTGTGATTCCAATCATCATCTAAGAACAGAGTTATATCATAAAGCTGCAGAAGCCATCTTTAAAATAAAACTTTCACGTCCTTAAATACTATGCCATTTATATAGTAAAAGTGTGACAAATCTGAAGTAAAAATAATTTATGCCCTCGATCCATCATAGAGAGAATGTGAATCGTGATCTCCAAAGAGTCTTGGGGCAGTTCACCTACCTGCATGGTCTCCTGTGTGCCCCTTCCCATTACAGACCCACAAACACTCATGGCAAACCTAGAAGGCCCAATTCCCTCTGCCAATCCCAGTACAAAGGTACCAGAATCCTGCTTCTATGGAAAGCGGAAGAGACACTCAACACATGGCAAATCAAAGTGACTGGACCCCTAGCAAGAAAAAGAATGCAGAGCATTGGTGATCTTCAATGTGCTGTGGAGTGTTTCTTCTTAGACACTATGCCTCACACTTAAAAAAAAAAAAAACAACTCAACATACACTTCTTTACTTAAAAAAAATTCTCAGTTTGATTTTCAGCTCCCAGAACAATAAAAGATATTGTATGAGTTCTCAGTGTTTTTCTGATTACGATTTATTTTTCTCTTTCTTAAAATCTCAATGGAGAGAGAAGGGGAGAGAGTAGCAACACAGTAAAAATAGATAAAAATAAGTCTATTTAAAATGTCGATTGAAGAGCAAAAGGCTACAGCTTTTGACCCCATGGGTAATGAGGGCAGGTTTCTCAATTTTGCAAACTAGAGGGAAGAACAATCTCCCTCTCCATAGTCAGGACATGAAAGTCTGGTTTAACAAGTGGGGCTCATATGCCACACTGGTTTGTTCTACCTCTAATTCCAATAAAGAACTAATAGCCAGTATTAAAGCCTTGCTCCTCAGGGTGTGGCACTTAGATCAGCAGCAGCAGCATCACAGAGGAGCTTGTTAGAAATGCAGACTCTCAGCAGGGTGTGGATGGCTCAAGACTGTAATCCTAGCACTCTGGGAGGCTGAGGTGCAAGGATCTCTTGAGGTCAGAAGTTCAAGACCAGCCTGAACAAGAGTGAGACCCTATCTCTACAAGAAATAGAAAAAAAATTAACCAGGTATGGTGGTATGTGCCTGTAGTCCCAGTTACTTGGGAGGCTGAGGCAGGAGGATCACCTGAGCCTAGGACTTTGAGGCTGCAGTGAGCTATGACGATGCCACTGCACTCTAGCCCAGGTGACAGAACGAGACACTTTCTTAAAAAAAAAGAAAGAAAAGAAAAAAAGGAAATGCAGACTCTTGAGCATAACTCAAGGCATAGTAAATCTGAATCTCCATTTTAACAAGATGCCCAGGTGGTTCACATGCACAAATGTGAGGTTTCAGAAGTACTGTTAGGGAGAACTTGGAATGAGCAGGTGGACAGCTAATCCCTTCCTAGTGAGGATGTTTACTTCACTTCTCTACTGCAAATAAATTCACACTAGTTCCAGCAGTAAAACTACTGCACTTGAATAAAAAACAAAATAGGACTTGCAATTCCTGTTCTGCTACTTACTAGCAAGTTACTGAACTTCTCTGAGTATGTTTTTTTTAACTAAAAAAAAAATAATAATAATAAAAGGAATAAGAAAGAAAACTATTTTCCAGGGCTCTTAGGAGAATTTGATGAGGGTAATGTTAAGGATGCCCAGGAATGTGCCCAGAACAAGGCTTCCAACTTGTAAATAAAATGTAGGATCTGCAAACACTGCTTTAACATTAAAAAAAAAATACTAGCTTGCCCAAAGTTAGCATATGATACATTTTACATAAATCTAACAAAAATCCAAACAGATATTTTTAACTGGTTAAAATAATCTTAAAGTTTATATGGAAAAAGAAATCTTAACCAAGACGAGAAATGCAGATGCTTAAAAAAATAATATAAAAGAACATATAAAATTCTATAGAAAATTATATTTAAAAGAACATATAAAAATTTATTTATTTTATAGCAACAGATAATATAAATGAAATCAACACTCAAAACAGTAGGGCAAACCTAGATGATAAACATGAAATAGTTGATGAATATGAAAAATAAAGTGATACATATGAAATATGTATAAAATGATGCTCATGGTTACTGGTAGTGGGGGAGGTACAAAACAAAGTAACAGTGAGATTAATATTTTAAACTTTTCAGATAAGCAAAAATTAAAAAGTGCCATAATGTCAGCAAGATGGCAACAAATATTTTTGTACACATAATAGAATACATTGGTGCTTTTATTTCTAGGGCACAGATTCCCAGGACAAGATTGCTGGGTCAAAAGAATTGTAGTAGTGGTAGCAGTAGTAGCAGTATTACTGCTAACAATAACTACTACTAGCATGAGTACTACAGAGATAATAGCAATCCACCTCTTGGTAATCTACTAGAACCAATCATTATTATAGTAGTTGTAGTAATAACAACTGCAAGCACTACTACTGCATAGATAGACTTACTATGTGCCACTGTTCTAAGTGCTTTGTATATATTAACCCTAATTCTTCTCAAAAGAACTCTAAAATATAGGAACTATCATTCCTATTTTACAGACCAAGAAACTGAGACATTAAATGTTCCTGGCAAACATAGTAAGAACTACATGTTAGCTATTTTGTATGCTAGCTAGATATGTTAGCTATTTTTTGTTTTTGTTGTTGATATCACATATTTTTTGACATAGCAATCCCATTCCTATGACTTTAACCCAAATGAAAAAATAATTTAACAACAAAAAAAAATCATGAATGTCCATGTATATTAAAGGATATACATATATGTAAACAGGAATGAGTAAATCTGTGTTTTAATTTGTTTCATACAAATTAAAACGCAGAGGGATGTATACGAGGTGGTTAACCTGGATTGCTTCGTTGGAGAGAAAATGACATTGGGAGAAGAAGAGGGCTGGTTAAAGAGAGAAGCAATCCAAATAAATCAGAACACACACACACAATTAGAAAGTTACAAAGTTGAAGTGCAGGATAACAACAAAGAAATAACATTTTACATTCTCTGGTGACACAAAGAGCCCTGAAGGAGTTTAAGGAATAGGTATTTTTAAGTAAATTTCATTTTTAAGAAGAGCAATACTTTGTTAAATGATTTGGATTTTTTTTTTTACCTCACACAATACAAATTATTAAGAAATTTTCCATACTTTTATTCTTCTCTATTGAGCAACAAAAATATCTCAGTAATTCCAAGATTCAAAACTCAGCAAGGGTAAAGTTAAAAGCACTGTCTAGGGGCAGGAAAGCTGAGTTCTGTTCCTGGCACCGCCACCATTGGACTATTTGACCTTTGGCAAGTCACTTAACCTGTGCTTAATTTCCTCACTTACAAAGGAAGGAAGTTCAACTAGGCCATCTTTAAAGCTCCTTTTAGTAGTAGAATGTGATGATTCTACAATCAAAAAGCATAATACAGAAAAGTGAAAAACTAGTAAATACGAGTGATAATTTCTGTATGTTTTTAAGAAACAGTTCAAAACCTTGATACCTGATAGCTAAGCAGGGAATTTAATGATCTACTTTAAAACGTACCTTTTAAGAATTAAAAACCGTAATAAGATCAACTAGTGATTTTGTATTTCCAAATAGTGAATTTAACTACTCCATGCTTTAATTTTCAAAAAAAAAAAAAAAAGCTACCATTTTAGATATCTTTCAGATTACTCACTGAAGTAAAGTTTAATTTGTCCCTTAAAATGGTGACATCCATAAGTAGCAGTTCAACCAAACTGTCATCCTCTAGAGACCACAGGTAATAGCCCTACGAAAAAAGGTCTGGTCAATGCCAGCCAGTCAGCCAAATAAATGAATTGCACATTAAAATTTCTAACAGCAAACTTTGAATAAAATTATTACAAGAACACAAAAAAATTTTTAAATTTGCTTAAGCATGACAACCTCATGAAGCAATATTCAGTTTTAACTTTTATATTTTCCTAAGTTTTATAAATAATAATGTGATTATTTAATAACACTTTATGAAAATTTATGCCTGGGCATAAAGCATAAAAAATCACTAACTCATAAAGCATAAAGATTTCCATGAGCCTGTTAAATTTTATATATTTTAATTCCTTAAATGGTTGTGAGATTTTCCAAAAAATACACAAAATTCCTTAAACTTTGCCAATTTAGAAATAGTTACATGAAAACCACCTTTCAGACTGTATGGCATCCCCTAGTAAAATCTACCCAGTTTTTTGAAAGGCTATTTGGGTATTATTCTCACAAAAAAAAAAAAACATATTAAGACTTGCCCCAACCAGATTTTATAGTCTAGGGTGACACAGAGAAACAATTTACGGCCTGCACAGTTATCTAAAATTCCTGCAAATAACAGGTTCCCTAACTAGTATGTCATAATTTTCTTATCTATGAGTGCAAGCACGTGCATTTATTTATATCCCTAGATTAACTTCAAGTCTAATTTTACTGCCACTAGTATCCAGGGGTGGATTTCTTTTTTCTAATTACAAATGGAACTTGAGCTAGATCAAAGGCATTTTAACAAGGTCAAATTTTACTTCTCTAAAAAACAGAGGTTGTTATCCCATGTAATTAATTAATGCTTAGCCATGCCTTTTGGCGCATTATCTGGTGGCCGCAAAAAACGGAGCCAGCCGTTTCCACCTGTTGGTGCAATGGAATTGCTTGACTTACCCAAAAAAGCAGATTGAGAGCATAGAGCAGGCAGCGCAGACACTTTACGGAATCTTCTCTTGCCATTGTGAGCCTGGGAAGGGAGAAGCCCCATCCTTTCACCACATCCTACCCTCAAGGGCAAAACGGCAGCGATCTGCAGGAGGCAGAGAGAACAGGGGACTGCTCACCACCGCGCTGCCCACCGCCCGCCCATCCCTCCTCCTCCAGCCCTTAGCCGGGTGCAGAGAGAGGGTCCCGAAAACTAGTTCATTCCAGACATCACTTCATCAAAACTCATTTGTTAAAGTCATAATAGTAACTAACGCATTTGTTAAAGCCATAATAGTAACTAAACTCCCAAAAGTTCCAAATCGGCTTCAGATAACACCTGCTGGGAAAAGAAAAGATTGACTCTCCGGATGAATGAATGCGCACAGTAAACTCCCATTCTCAGGGGACACGCGGCGGTGCCCTCTGCATTCTGATGAGACGCTCTTGAAAACCTCCCTCAATCCACGCCCCTCCTCGGGGACAGCTCTGCTCAGAACTGTCTTGAAGGTTAAAAAGCACAGTGGCCCCCCGGAGACGTCACAGGCGCCACCAGGGAGTCCGAGGGTGCGAATATCCTTCTCGATAGGATAGGACAGTTCCTGGGCTCCCCAACTCCGCATCCTGCCTACCCCATCCCGCAGCTCGGGTGTGAACGCAGGGGACTGGAGGGGGCGCCGCGCGGAGCTGGGATTCCGCCCGGCGATGAGGGTTTCTTTGGGAGAACGTGAGAAATGATGCTTTCGGCCCCAGAATGATGGATTAGCCTGGGGCGGGGGGCAGAGAGGGAGCGCCAGGGAATTAGGGCCGGTGCAGCTGTGCAGACGCCGGGTTAGTCATTCATAGTCCCCCTCCCCCGGCCCGGGCCGCTGCCGCGACCCCGCGCTCCGAGCCGCCCGCAGAGCACAAAGCGAGCGCGGTCACCAGCCCGGACACCGCGTCCGCGCGCCCCCGGCAGGGCGCGGGGGGAAGCGCCGGCGGCCGGGAGCTCCAGAGCCAGCCTTTAAGTAGTTTAGCACACAGCGCCCAAGGCAGCCGCCGGCGGGCTGGCGGGACAGCAGGCAGGAAAGAAGAGAGACGAGCGGCCACTCACCGTCGGCTCCGGGCTGCGTGTCCCACTCCCGCCGGGGGACAGTCGGGGACGCACGGCGGGGGCTCATCGGGGCAGGGACGCGCTTTCCGAAGAGCAGAAGGGCTGCATTGGCTCAAGCTGGAGACGCTTCTTTCTCTTCCTCTCCCCCCACCGCCGCCGTCGCCGCCTCCTGGGAAAAAAAAAAAAAAAAAAAAAAGAGTCCTGGGCAGCAGTTGCTGGAAAGTCTCCGCTAAGCCACCTCCCAACGCCGCTGTCCCTCCCAAGTCCTCGCCAAGTCCGGACGAGGCAGCGGCGGCAGCCAGGGCCAGCTGCACAAACTCTCAGCGCATGCTCGAGCCGCTGGCTGCCCGGGTTGGGTCCTAGTGGGTGTTTCTTGTCCCCCTCGCTCGGCGTGGGTCCCCAAAGGGACGGCTCACCTCTACAAGACGCGGTCCCGAAAGAGATAAAGCCTAGGAACTCTGGAGAAGTCCGCGCAGTGAACCCCTTTAAAATGGTGGTGTCGGAGGAATGGAGGCTGGGTTATAACCATAGGGAAACAGGCTTTTATTATATGAAAATATTTGTGTTTGAGAAGGGGGGTGAAGGGGTGGCCCAGCCCAATTCCTGCAATGAGAAACTAGTTTTCACAACCTTTATGGAGCCACCTCCTGCGATTTGTCATTAACATGGTGCCCTATGATCCTTCTTACTGCTTTGTTGCCCTCCCTAATTTTAAAAAAACAGTTCTTTTCCCACTTTCATGCTGCACTAACAGCATTTACGGAAACATCAGAGTAATCGTGTCCAGTCTGACATCCAGGGTGGGAAGAAGGAAGATTTTTTAACTCTTAAAAAAGTAACCCAAACTTTCCAAAATTTCTCCCAATAAAATTGTTTTGAGTTTTAACTGGGTGATTTATTTTGAAATATGTACACAGTAGTGAGTCTTTGGAAAACTGCATTATCTAAAAGTAGAAATTTGCGAAATATTAAAGTAACCAGAGGAGACCATTCATCCAAAAGTATCTTCCTTTTTATAAGGAAGAAGTTTCACACTTTAAAAAAACACTGGATCATATTCTCCACATAACATTTTAATGTTTTATGCCTCTCAGTACTGTATATTTCTATAATTACTTTTGTGCACACTGTATGGCAAATAAAACTTTACCAACAAATCTGAATTACCTGAAATACAAGCAACATCTTTGAGAAAACCTCCAATAATTGGAGTCCTCCTTAAATTTCCTTGCAGGAAAAAAGAAACTTGGGGTCCTGTGTCTATCATTGCCTGTCTAGGGTCAGTTGCTGCGTGATCAGAGGGACAGTGAGACAGGCAGTCTCATTTGGGAAGAAGTAAAGTCAAAACCAAAAGACAACATGAGTGTCCTGAGTTAGGCTAGGAAAATTCTTGCTAAGCAAGTCACTAAGCAGTATGTAAGACAGGAACTCAAAAGAGCATAAATTTAGAAGTATAGCCATCCACACAAAGTACCAAGAAAAAGTCTAGGCATCCATTAGATGACTCTGACTCTGATAACAAAGCAGCTTCTAGAATCATGGAGAGGATCAAAGAAACCTACTTTAGCCTCTGTCAGTTTCTGCTCAAATTAGGGTATATGCCTTTTCTAAGCAGAGGACTGCTGAAACAACCAGCCACACGAATACCCTTAGTGCCACACATTCCTCTGAAAGATATAAACATCCCCACATTGAGGGGAGCCTATGACTGCCATTAAAACTGAGAAAAAGGCTGGGCACAGTGGGATGGCTCACACCTATAATCCCCATGCTTTGGGAGGCCGAGGGGGCAGGATAGCTTGAAGCCAGGACTTCAAGACCAGCCTGAGCAATATAGTGAGACCCTCTCTCTGCAAAAAAAAAAAAAAAATAGAAAAATTAGCCAGACTACAGATGCGGGCCTGTAGTCCCAGCTATTCAGTAGGCTAAGGTGGGAGGGTCACTTGAGCCCAGGAGTAAAATCAAAAACAAAAACAAACTGAGAAAAAGAGTGCCAACAATTCACATGTCTCAGAGAAAAGATCCTCTTCTATTTCTAGAAGGTGGTTAAGTGCCTTTTCCTTAATTCATAAACTTTTGGAGGTCAGCTGCCCTAGAATAATACAATTTTATAGGAAGGTGCTTTAGAAGTATGTATGTCCTCCATCTTCCTGGTAAATAAGGAATGTGGAACCAGGAGAAGTTAAAGGAATTGTTCAACATTACCTTTAAAGTCCAATTCCAAACTAAAATCTAGATTCATGACACTCTAACTAGTATGCTAGTTTAGTGGTTCTCAAAATTGCTGTACATTAGACTCACTTGGAAAGGTTTGGAAAAAATCCTAATGCTCTGGCGTACCCCACACCACTTAAATCAGAATCTCTGCAGGTGTGGCCTAGGCATACAGATTTTTCAAAGCTCCCAAGGTAATTCTCGTCTGCAGCAAAGTTTGAAAACCACTGCAACTAGGACTTTACAGCTGCCTAAAAACTAGCAAAAGAGTCTCTTTAGAATTAGTTGGATCAAATCTCTCTCTTGTGAGTTGATAAATTGGGATTAATATCCCCAGTTTACAAGTTAAGGAGAAAACAGAGCTGTAGTTACTGCTCTATTATTCCTGATAAATGATCATCAGAGACTGTGAATCAATATTTCAGTACAGGAGACGTCACCATGTTTGAGGCATTGCAGTACTGGGTAGTTGTGATTGTTTAACTTGATCTTACCTCCTTTAGCTTCTACCCCTCAACCTTAGTTCTGCCCTTTGGAGTCTGTAGCATGAGCAAGAGCCTTTCTCCCATGTGACAGCCCTTCAGCTACTTGAGGGCAGCTGCTCCTCCCTCCCTCTCCAATTCTTCTCTTCCCCAGGATTCCAGAAGTACAGTAAGACTTGACATCGCAGCTGTCATTCTGCAGGCTCTATATTTTATCTGCGAGAACTTCTTTTTTGAGCACAAAAGGAGAATAGAAAAATCACAATATGCACATACAAATTTGAATGTGGAATAACTCATTAAGGAGACTGTATGGTCCATTCGTTGCCCATGAGGCAGGAACCCAATTCTGTGGCCATGTGTGCTTCATTATGTATCATTGCGTCTGGGGCACCTACTGTGCCTCACGCTGAAGATACTAAGACAAGTCCTCACTCTCCAAGAAAAGGCAAAACTGTTTTTTCCTGTTTATGTAATAATAATAATATCAATAACAATAAGATAAATATTTTCAAGCAGTTGCATATGTGTCAGTCCTTGATTCAGCAGTAAAACTCAGGAAGGTGATAGAAGTTCCTCACTCCATAAGGCACCTCATTTCTCCATATCGTATTCCACTCATTCTGTTCAAGTCGTGGAGAAGGAAAGAGCAGCATAGATGTTTGGTTAGATGGATGAGCTTGTATTGCTTCTTAGTATAAGACCATTACGAGTACACCTAAGCCAGTTCTTCCCAATTAATTCAAGGAAAACACCTCATATGTTTTGAATAAGCTATATGTGCCTGACATGATAGGCACTTCTCAAAATGTATCTTATTAATTTCTCTTCCTCATAACCACACGGTGACATACTGACACTGTTGATTTCTATCAAGGCTGCACAGGTAGTGGTTACAGAAGCTGAGTTTCCCACTGAGATCTGTCTGACTCTTTGCACTGTTGATCTGCATCACAATAAAATTGGGGATTCATTGACAAGCCTCAAGAAGAAAAATATTCTAGGCCTTTCTTATGAGTTCTTGGGAATATGAAGCTGAATTTCAGATATGTCCACTCAAACTATGATTGGTAAAGCTACCTTCACCTTTCACTTCTGAAAGAGTGTACCCAATAGGACCCGAGCAAAACCTTCTGTTACTGAATTAAGTAGACTGCTCTCTACTGCAAGCTTAGGGTTGCCAGATAAAATACAAGATGCCTCATTAGATTTGAATTTCAGATAAACAACAAATAATTTTTGGTATAAGCATGTCCCAAATGTTACATGGAATAAATATTGTGTTGGACATACATATACTATAAAATTATTCAATGTCTGCCTGAAATTCAAGTGTAACTGCACATCCTACATTTTTATTTGCTAAATCTGGCCACCCTATGCAAACTAACAAATGTAACTCAGTGTCGCAAAGTAAGTAAATGTACTGTTTTGCATCTCTCCTGACATATACAATGTGTTACCATATTGTCCTTGGCTACCTACTCTCATGGTCAAAAGATTGCTGTGCAAACCCAGGCATCTCGTTCAGTTACCACTACTTCTAGAGCAGGAAGAAACCACTTCCTCCTATGGGTCTCTCTTAGGATCACGTAAATCTCTCGCAGGAGTTTTGAAGCAGGTTATTCCTTTTGATTCATTGGCTAAAACCCTGTCACATACTCACATATGAAGCAATTATTGGCATGAAATACAGTTCTATCATGACTGGTTTTAAATCAGTCAGCATGCATTCCCTGTGCCTGGGGCAAGCCTTCTCTAACACACATGGCCAAACAGAGGAAGGTAGATAACTGAACACAGATTTTTGTTTGTACTCGGGGGTAAAGAAAGGAATGGATGCCACTATCCTCTCTCCTGTTCACTTGTAAAGCAACCCTGCGGTCAGCTAGCCATTTATGTGGCACTATTTAGCAAAGGTTCTTAGCAAACATTCTGAAGCAAGAACCCTACTGGCAATAGCAGAGAGCCGGAAGAAAACTCAGATCATATCATTTCGATCACATGCCGTAAGCTTACTTTCCATACCCTCATTCTCATTTATACACCACACTATTGATTAAAGAATTGCCCAAATCAGCACCCTCATATAAACTCCTAGAACATTTTCCACTTAAAGTTTATCCAAACCTGGCCTCCACACAAAGTTCAGGAATTTGGACTCATTTTACCCACAGACATTGGTATAAATAACTCAGTAGTATTCAATAAATATTTATTGAATTGTTACTATAAACTGAGAACTGTGCTAGGAAACACCAAAAGTTCTACCATAATTTTTTTTTTAGAACAACAAAAGAATGTTAGTTTATTTTCTTTGTAAAAAGTCATCTGTATTTTGACTCTCAAAAAATTTATAATTTCATCAGCATACTTCCTCTTCACAAAGCAAAACTTACAGTTCTTAAGAATATTTTCCTTTTGTGAGAAGTTTTCATTTTTGTAGTTCTTTGAAACAAACTGCAAAGGAAAGGAAGGAGTACTGATCTATTTACAAAGAGCTGCCAAATTCTCCTTTTCTTAGAAAGATCCTTAAGAATTATTCTGTTATACCACTACATCAGCTTCTTGTCATGTCCACAGCACAACTAGAAAATGATACCCAAATAGTTGCTATTAATATTAGACATTTGTCTTCATTTGCTGCTCTTCCAATTTTCTTGCTGTTTTAAAACTTTCAGATTACTTCAACACTGCACTAAATAAACATTTATTTATTTACACTAGATAAAATCTTGTATTTTAAAAATTATTTTCTGTTGGCTAATACAAACTCATATGCCCCCATCCTACCATGTATTATAAACCAACCATTTTATGGAACAAAAACAATCATGATTTTGTGATTTGAATTTAGCCTTTATGAAAGTTTTATGATTGAAATTTAGACTT